ATACTTTTTTCCGGTATAAATTAAATTAATTTTCTTTCAAAGACTTAATGCTTAAAATATTTCGAAATTAAACATAAACTCAAGACTTTTTTTGTCCAATACTCTGAAACACTATAAAAAAAATTGTGCAAGTGGACCACTAAAGAACTCATTGAGGCTTCTAAAATTATTGATTAAATTAACTATCATTGACATGTAAAATGACTTCTACATGATTTATGTATGTATATGTGTAAGTATACAAGTGTTTGTAGGGGGAGAGAGAGAGAGAGAGAGATTAGTATACAAGTGTTAGTAGGAATTAAAATTAAAATTTTAATTTAAGTCAAAATTAATAATTCATTTCAATCATATATTTCATCGATTTAACAACTTTTCGATCATATATTTAATTATTTTTTATTAAAATTTACTAAAAATCTGATTTTAATTTCCACCAAACAGATGTTAAATATGTTACATGTAGGTGACTATTCGTCCGAGAAATATTTTACAATGGGTTTGGCGGAATAACAGCTCAATTCCGTTGGAGTTATTCTCTCCACTCTGTGCTAAACACATGGTGACAGATTAAGTCATTGATTAGTGTGCGTGGGAGAGCTTTTCTAAGCTCAAAATGCAATCTTTGGAGTGTAAAATATGTTTTTCAATAAAACTATAGATTTTTTAGTTAATAAATGTTTATTCAACCATAAAAATAACTTTTTCCTTTTTCCTTTTTCCTTTTTTTACATTTAATAAAACTTTTAGATTTTTAAATATATTCTAATTTTTCTTCACATCATAAATATAATAATAATTCTAACTCCTCATACTATTGAAGTTTTTAGACATTTTTTTCTTAATTTTTATTGTTATTTATCATTGTATATTCTTATTAGCTTTACTTATACAACAAATATATGCTTATATAAATTTTTTAAGGGAGAATTGCAGCCATGATATCAAACATTTTATTTTAATAGAGACTTGGTCCAAAACTTTCATTTGTACCATTCATGATATCAAATCTTTCAAAAATTCGTGTTTGCAGTCCAATCTAACGGAATCTCTTAGTTCATCTGTAGGTTGACCAAAAGTCGGTAATTTGACCAAATTTTGACTAATTTCAAGAGGTTAAAATAGTAAATTCACCACTCGCCCCACACCCACCCACACCTGGAAACCAAAAATTAGGAACCACCCACATCCCCGGCCACCATCACTCACGCCACCGCCATTTTGTTTTTTATTTATGCTTCAACATTGTACTTTGATAATTGTATTTGTTCTCTGTTACAGTATTCCGCTTCTAGTTTGTGTAAATAGTTTGAAATTGGGCTCAAATGGATGCTATTATATATAGTTCCACTTGGTGAATAGTGCCTCGTCCCGATTGAGTCTTTTTTTTGTTCGGCTCGCGGCGAACTTGGTCTAGCACTAAAGTTGGGCAGTGAGTTGAATTGGGGATATATAGTTGCTGACTTGGCCCTTGGGCACTATTATTGTAGCACTAAATGGGTTCAAATAAATGCTATTAGTTGAATTAGTGGATGCTATTTTAGTGGGGGTATATTGCCCTTTTGTTTGTAATTTATGCTTCAACATTGCCTTCACTCACGCTACTGCCACTGCCCCTCGTGAAACACTTCATGATGTACCAACAGGGTTGCTTCGTCAGCAACACTGTCCTGCGCACGGCCAAGGACTTGGCGAAGAATAATAAAGGAGCATGAGTTCTAGTAGTGTGCTCAAAAATTACCGCGGTTACATTCTGGGATCCGAATGACGCTCATTTGGACTGGTTGGGCAAGCACTATTTGGTAATGGTGCAACCATCGTGATTGTGGGTTCTGATCCAATGATCGTGCAAGTTTGGAGGATTTAAAGGCTACCAATTTCCTTGCAAAATTGCTTCGAATTGGAACATGGCGAGTTGTTAACTGTTAATTGCAAATAGAGTGGCAGTGGCGATGGCGCGAGTGATGTTGGTCGAGGACATAGGTGGTTCCTAATTTTTAATTTTCAGGTGGGTGGGTGTGGGGTGAGTCAAGAAGATATTTCTTTTTCTTTTCTGGTTTTTGGTTTAATTGTTTTATTTTAATTGTTTTAATATAGAAAAAGGTAAATTTACTATTTTAACCTTTTGAAATTAGTCAAAATTTGATCAAATTATTGAGTTTTTGTCAACTAATAGATGAACTAACAAATTCCGTTAGATTGGACAGCAAGTGCGAATTTTTGAAATGTTTGATATCGTGGGTGGTACAAAAGAAAATTCTGGATCAAGTTTACAGTAAAATGAAAGGTTTGGTATCATGGCTGCAATTGTCTCGTTTTTTAACGAAAGATCAAACATACGATTTAAACAATAATTTAATTCAGATACTATTTATATAATATATTAAAAATAAATATTATTTATGCAAGAAAAGTTATGAGATATATAGGAAATAATTATTGTTTAGTCACATAAATATGTGTTGTGTATAAAAGAACTTTCATAGTTATATTATACATTAGGATAAGTGGCAGTCATAATACCAAACATTTTATTTTTATGAAGACTTGATCCATACATTTACGTTGTTGCACTCACGGTACCAAATCTTGTAAAAACTTGCATTTAAAGTCCAAATGGATGAAAAATGCTAATTTGATCATTAGTCGACCGAATAATTGATCTTAACAATAATTTTGATTAATTTTCAAAGATTAAAATGGTAACGTTATTATTTTTTTAATAATAAAATGACTAAAATTAAATAATTAAAATCAAAAACCAAATAACTTCTTCTCCATCCACCCCTTATCCACCACCACAACTACCAAACGGCTCCACCGCACCCATGCAACGTCAGCTCCTCCACCTACATCACACCACAACATCTCCACCTCAAATCCACAACTACCACAACCTAATTGTCCACACGACAAAGTTTGACTTTTGCCATAAAAATGCAAGTTGGGGATAAGAATATACAAGCTGAACAAGCTGAGATAATTTGAAGATAGCACAAAAATAATTGGCTGGATCAACTATTTAGCTTCTCCAAAAGTGAATGAATGGCCATCCAATTCATCAGATTGATAGGTATTCAATAGATTTTTACTTTTTCCCTCTTTTATCCTTCAAGAAGTGCCGAAGTGCATTAGAAAGTAAATGATTTCCTTCCAAGAAAAAAAAGAAGTGTACCTTCCAACAGGGGCGGAGGGGAGGGGGGTCCAGGACCCCCCCAATTTTTTGGGAAAAAATTTTTTTTTATTATTTTTTAAATTTTTTGGCCTCAAAAAATTATTTTTAATCTCCTAATCCATCACATTCAATTGTTTGTGAAGTTGTATTGTTTATCAATTATGAGAGAAAGAGTTTCCTCAATTCTTAGGCTCAGTGATGGAGAAATATTTGAAAAAATTAGTAGTTNTTAATTATTTGATTTTAGTTATTTTGTCATAAAAAAATGTAAAGTTACCATTTTAACATTTTAAAATTAGTCACAATTATTGTCAATGTTAATTATCTGGTCAACTAACGTCAAACTAACAGTTTTCATCCATTTAGACTTCATGTTTGAGTTTTTACAAGATTTGGTATCGTGGATGCAACAAAGTAAAGGTTTGGATCAAATCTACATAAAATTGAAAGATTTGATACCGTAGCTGTAATTCTCCCCATATATTAAACCATTAACATGTCCTTGATAGCAATTTTAGTATTGACAAACTGAACTGTCAATAGCTTTATAATTATTGTTATTTTTTAAAAAGTTCCATTATTAAGAGACTCAAAATAAAAGATCAATTTTTTTCATTATAGGATTCAATAGCAATGTTAAAAAATAAATATTTGCATCATATTCGAATCTTACTATAAAAGATGAGATTTATATAATTATAATTATAAAAGAGTTTTATATTTTATTTGTATGTGTATTAAAAATTTTAAAAATCTATATAGAAATCCTTCATCAAGTAACACTCGACAAGTAAAAATCAAAATTCTTATAGGGTTCCAGATTATAATTAATAAATGAAAGAAATTACGCGAATGAATGTAAGAGCTAAAAAGAACAAAGAAATTACTGGAAATCAGTGACTTGAGAGTTGAGATGATTATCAAGATTGAGGAAATTCGAAGTGATTGTTGCTGCAAAATGGATACAAATTTACATATTAATTAATAGATTTTAAATCTCATCTTCAAGGAAAAGTATGCACACCAATCTGAAACTTTCACCCATGAAAAATGTAAGAATTCTACAATCCTTCAGCAAGAAAATTTTGCAATATTGAAATTTGATCACTATGACTGACTTTCGTCTTTATTTGACCAGTCGTGACAGTCTGACAATTAATCGATACAAACATTATTGAGAATCTTTGGGATTTTCATCGCCACTATCGCTCCCTTGTGGCTGATTTTGATGATGGTGATGCTGCTCCAAATTCATTCCTAAATCAATCCTACTATTACTATTGCCATATGCATTAATGGAGGCCAATATTCCCATGTTACTAGTGTCGGAGACACCGAGGCCAAGCTGCTGAACCGGGGGCTGTGGCTGCTGCAACACCATAGAACCAAGCTGAACTGGGCTGAACCTGCCGCCACTTGGGAACTCGAAGCCTCCGATCCTCTGCATGGGAGATGCCTTGTACTGCCATACTTGGTGCTCTTGCTGCCTTGGAACCACGGTGGTCGTGGTGGCTCCTCCTGTCACAGGCAGCATCCAGAAGGCGTTGCCAACGGTGGTGGCCGCCGGAGCCATCGCCCACATGCCGGGAGCTGGGAGAAAACTGGAGGGCTGTGTTGAACCGGGTTTTGGTTCTGAACCTGGTTCTTGATCTTGCACCCCTGTTCTCCCCAGTTTAGAAGCTGTAGGTGACGTTGCTCCAGAACTATCTTCTCTGAACCGCTTTTTCATGTAATTCTCCCCTGGATCTTGCCCAAACCCGGTGTTGGAAGATAGCTGGTGATGGAAACCTAGCATCCCGGTGGCGCCGCCAAGGAAGAGAGGAGCAGACTTGGACGTTGGAGCTGAAATGGTGGTGCCACTGCTGCGTAAGGACACGTTGAGGGTGGATATATTGGCCGGAACTGTACCTGTACCAGTTGCAGCTATAATCGCCGGTTCAGCTTGGTGCAAAAGCCATTCTATGGTCTCACCATCCGATTTATGGCCTAATTCTCTCGTCAGCTGGAACACTCTAGCTGCACACAAGGCCGGCATGCGGATGCGCCGCCCTCGGCCATCCACCTTCGTGTGGCGGTCTTTCGACGGCTTTTTGGCCAGTTTATTGTTCGCGGCGGCCGTTGTAGGCGCGGTGTTGGTGGAAGAGGAGGTGGTGGTGTTTGTGGAAGGAGAGGATAAACCAAAGGCTCCTGATTGCATGGAGATGGAGCCCATAAAGGGACCATGGGCTGGGGCCTGGCCGGACCCAGGGTTAGTTTCAGGTTGACTTTGGTGGTGAAGGGAAACTAGTTGGAGAGACGATGGTTCTTGAATTGGTACATGATGGTCCGAGCCACCACTGCCACTCTCTTGGTTTTTGCTATGTGGCTCCATAAATTCCTTTCTTCGGGGAAGTGAAGATTTCCAAGCAAATTTTCATGAAACTCCAAACATGGCCCAATTCCAGTTGTCAATTGATGAAACTTGGTGACGAAGCTTTTTTGAGCCAATGAACAAGTGGAAGTGGTGGGTGGGGATGGGGTGGGTTCTTTCACTCCTCCTTCCAAAGTGATTGACTGCTGTCTTTACAGAGAGAATCGGTGTCTCTCTGTGTGAAAGAGCTAGAGAGTAATTGTGGGAGCCCACAAAAAGCTAAAGAGAATAAATGTAGCTGAAGGCCACTCGTGGGGTCTAATTGTAAAGAATGAAATACAGTACAATTTAGCTGTCTTCATGAATTGAATTTGCTGCATCCATAGCCACACAAACTTCATCCTTCTCATTGTTTAATTGACGGTCTGTCCTCTCCTCTGTGCGTGTTTCAGTATCTGGCACGTAGTGGATAATGGAAATGGATTAGTAGTCAATTACTAATTATTTAAAACCACTCTATCCAACACTTTGTATTACGTAACAAATATATTCTTTAACACCATAATAATTTGAAGAGTATAGTTTTCAGTTTCTCTTTCTTTGAAAAAATATGCAGTGTACAAAGTGGAATTAATTAATTCTTTATTTAATTTCTTTTTGCTACTTTTCTTCATGAATTATATGCTAGTGGAAGCTACATATGGTCGCTAAAGAGTACTATTGTAGTGTGAAAGGTTGAATATTGACTTGGAAAACGTGGAGGAGACTAACTCTTAATCAAAAGTCTTTTTATAATGTTTTAACCCTAAACATTTTCTTCAATGATGGAATAATTAGAATTCATTGATTAATGTATTGCTTGAAAGTCGACAATGACTATTATGATGATGCCTATCGAGTCCGAAGCACCGATATCTCCAAATTCGATATACGATATTTTGTGTGGTATAGAGCATATTTGGTACAGATTTTCATTTTCTATAGTAAATCAATTCTCATTTTCAACCACACATTCTTCAATAAAATAATATTTTCCATCACATCAATACTTTTTTCTTCTTTTTCAACCACACATTTCCCATTGGGTTAATTTCACAAATGGTCACTGAAGTTACATGAAAATAACAAAACGGTCACTGAAATTTCAAACTTACATAAATGGTCACTCAACTTTCACTCAGTTTCAAAAATGGTCACTGAAGTTAGTTTTAGGACTTTTATGTTTTAATTGAAACTTAAAGCA